CAGAAATTATATACAAACCCATCTTTGAATTTTGTCAAGCATATTGAGATATTTTGCAGGAGTACCAGATAAGAAATGGCAGCAATATTCAATGCACAGATGAATGGTAGATTTATAAATGTGCAAGAGGGTTTTTGGCAAGACACAGTGAACCAACTTTCCTAGTAGCAGACCTAGCAATTGATTCAATTTAATCACTCTACTTCATGACAGTGGAAAATGGTGAGACCATATATATATTATATATATATATATATATATATATATATATATATATATATGTATATAAAGGATGAATGCAAATAAAATTTGTCACTTAAATGATTGATGTTATATTCATCACCTTGAATCTAGTGTTTTGTAGACAATCTTTTCTATAACATTTCAGACCACTCTTCAGGAGGTTTCATAATGTATATATAAAGAAATATATGTAATACCTTACATAATACCTTATATTATGTATATTTCTTAATATATATTAAATAGGTCTGTTATTTAACATTGAAAACTGTTTTTTCTTACACTATAGTGTGTATATATGTATTTCTATACCATCACTTGCTCATACATTTACCTATATTTGTCCATTTGGTTATATATATATATATATATATATATATATATATATATATACACACAAATAAAATAATATTATTAACATCTATTGATATAAGTAAAATTACATCTGGATTCCTATCTGTATTCTGACAAGTAAGGCATTGCAAAATACTAAGTTAGTCTTTGATAAGTATCTGCAATGTTTAAAATTTTCAATATATATATGTGTGTGTGTGTGTGTGTGTGTGCATGTGTGTGAATGAGATTATATGTTGGCTTATTATACATATGATATTGGATGTATAGTGTTAGAATTGATAACAGCTGAGAAAGAGAAATCTGAGAGCTGAGTTTGAATTCCTGTCAGGTTTGTTACATTCACTTACATCCAAATACCTTACGAAAAGGTATGAATCCATCTCTTCTCCTCCACCTATGGGTAAAACTATGAATTCAAACCATCCTGAAGAGGGTTGGGCTTTGTCAGGCTATATTGCCCAAAACAGTGAAATTAATAACAGCGAGCCTAGATAAATAAGTCCAACTTGAGAAAAACTGTGCAACCCAAAGGAACTGAAACTGTGTCCCTTTATTCATTAGGAAAACCTCTTCTATAGCTGAAGCTTGCCATTACCAATTTGGCTGTGAGAGACCATCTTGATAAAGGAAGGTTCAAATTAGATATTTAAGGAATACACATCTTTCAAGATTCATAACTAAGAAATGCACATCTCTTCTAAGAACCTATACTTGTTAGTTTCATCATTGTAACCAAACTGTAAAGAACTGCATTTTTTTTCAATGAATTTTTTACTCTAACATTATTTATTACTATAAACATTAGTGGCTACACATGCATGTTTGAGTTGCTATGCCATTTTTTTTCTTCTTAAACAGTGAAATTAATAACTGACCAAGATGAAAAGTCTTACTAAGTAAAAATTGTATATAATAAAATCTTAATCATATATATATATATATATAAAACAGACCTTTAAAGTATATATATATACAAATCAAAAGGAAGTGGATATTATAAATAATGTGCTCAATGCATGGCTCAACAAAAAAGTAGAGCAAATAATAATATTATAAAAATAGTAATATTCACCAGGCATAGCTGGGTTTTGAACTTAAGCTCTCATATATATATATATATATATATATATATATATATATATATATATATATATATATATATATACTAGCAGCATGGCCTGAAGTTGCCGTGCTTGATTCAAAATCGTACGACTCATACAACATTCGCTATCACTTGACTTAAAATATTTTTTGCCCTTCCTTGCCTTTAAAGGAGTGCCCTTTGCCCTGCTGATGTTGCTACATGCCTTACTTCTTGCCTATCTCACACTGCAAACTTTTTTCTAAGCTCTATACTAAACATTAAATCTGTTACGAAAAAAGAACTAAACAAAATAAACACAAAACGATCAGCTTTAAAAAAGGACTCATAGCTGGAAAAACCAAATGAAAAAAGAATGTTAACAACAAATACTTTTTCACACCCAACCCAGTTCTGTGGAATCAGAATCAATGTTGAGTTTAAGCAAGCGAATGAGCCAACTGGAGTAAAGTGCCATGCAGATTTAAATTTTTCCCACTTGTGACGAATGCAGCTATTGATTTTTTTGCATGCTAGCATGCTAGTTAACATTCATGTCAGTCAGCTGTTGGCTCTCACACTAGCCAATAGAATCTTCCTGCCTATTCATGGCAGCCAGCTATAGGCTCTCACTCTGGCCAGTACAAATGGCCACAAACTACATGAAAACTACCATAGAGGCATGAAAAAATCGATTATTTCCACTATCGATGGGAGTTGGGAAATGCAAAGTCGTCTTGGTCTTCCTGCTAACTTGGAGCATGTGCATGTAAATTTTGGTGCAAATCCGTCGGAAATTGTGGCCGTGCATTCTTTATACACATACACACACATCCTTCCTTTTATAGATAGAGATATATATAAACCTGAATTATGTCCTTCAAAATAGATAAATATCATGTTTTCCTTAGCATAAGTGACAGATAAAACCAGTTACATTATGTAATTTCTTTTTTTAATTTAAAACTTATGCATCTGCACATGGTAATTGAATAAACATTTAAAAACTATTTGAAAAGTGAAAAGCTAAGCTCATTAAACCGATATCTAAGTAAAACAATTTTAATAAATTAGATAATTAATTTAATAATTCTCTGTAAATATACATGTATTATAAATGTTACATATAAAAATACATAAAAACATTAGGTGTTTTTCCGTATCTTATTATTAGTAGTATTTTCCATGTACAACTAGGTTTTGTACAGACTTTTCTAACATTTTCATTTCTTACACACACACACACATATATATATATATATATATATATATTAGAAGAAAAAATTTCCATATGAAACATTTTGTGAAAAATTTTTATGTGTGACACATTTTGTCCTTTAGGATTTCATCAGACTAATGTGATGTTTATGGTGATGTGCCAACACATATGCATGAAGGAAAGGAAAAATTTAAAAAGTTTGTCTTTTAATATATTTTAGGTATATACTCTAGCTGATTTCATTTAATTTCTTTTTTGTTGTGTTCATTTTTCCTTCATTTTGGTTATTACATATCCCATATTGCAATAATAGAAGAACTGCCAAGAAAGGTGGAATGCTATAAGATCTTGGATGTAAATTTACTGTGGATGATGTAGCAATTAAAGCATTTTCGATAGATTTTAGTAAACCGCTTTAATAAAATTGTTCCTGATATATTAAAATTTATATATCATTTTCCTATACATATATATATATATATATATATATATATATATAAAGCTAGCATAACAATTATTATCACAGAAACTAAATTTTAATTTCAGCCTTGTCAATTGTATTCACGTTTACACTTATATTCTTTGGAAGGCATGATACCACCAAGTTATGTGTTAATGGTTTGTGCTGGGCTCCTTAACTTTGGCGGCATCAAATCTAAAAGAAAGACAACTCTGCATTCAAAGCTACAGAGAAGGCAATAAGAAACCACTCCTCTATCTTTCTCAAAAAGTTCTGGCAATTTACAGATATTAAAGTAAATCAGAGATGTGGAGATCCTTGATCGCTTATAACCTGAATGAAATGCAATTTAGTTATTCAATAATATTTGAATTTGTTACTGTTCATTTGCAATCATGTTTCTCTTGATTTTTCATACACAAAATTCAAACCAGAGATGGAATTAGCTTTGGAAATCACAGGAATGTAGGAGAAAAAAGATTTTCTCTGGCTTAATTTGCCTGACAATTAATAATTATTCATCATCATCATCATCATTATTTGTTGCAGAATCCATTACATGGATCCATGCACAACTCTTATTCAATGAGTTGCTTTTGGTTAAGTACTTTGGTTGAAACTTAATACATATCTTACTATTAGTTTTGAGATCAGAATTATTCTTCTAGACTGGTTGCCGACCACGGATCTTGTTTAATGTGTCTCTATCAGTTTTGAACACAAAATTATCCCTCTAGACTGGTTACCAACCACAGATCTTGCTTAAGGTGTCTCTATCAGTTTTGAACTCAGTATTATCCCTCTGGTTACCAAACATGGATCTTGCTTAAGGTGTCTCTGTCTGTTTTGAACTCAGTATTATCCCTCTTGGCAGGTTGCCAACCACAAATGTTATTTAACCCATTACCTGCCATGGGCCCCATGAGTAAATGAGGATGATTCAACACCTTGAAAGTGGTATCACATGTTCAACTGTAAAAAGTCTAAAAATGGGTGAAACTTAAGAACAAATTTCATTTGCCAGAGATCAGCTTCAAATTCTGGCTTACTCAGTTGCATTCACTTTCCTTGGGAAAGGCCTAAATCAGTCTCTTCTACATCCAGCTATGGGTTAAATTGCTGGGTAGACAGGAATCTCTAGCCCTCATTGGTATGCCACAATCTTTTCTAATTAGTTCACAGATTTTCAGAAGAGCCATGATTGCCTGGAAAAAAACTGTAAAAAAAATGACCTAAAATACTTAAAAGGCTTGTTTTACACTGGAAAGATATTTGAGAAATATGTAAATTAATGCTGTGTACAAACACCCAGCATACAGACAGAGAATTGATTCAGCAAATATACCAAAAATAGAAAGATTAGTAAGACAAGAATGCATTTTCTCACCAGATTTATTTAACAAGTATATTGATTATGTTTTGATTGATTTTTTATGACTTATCAACCTTTTGCAGGTTATTTAAAGCTAGAAAATATCTTGAGATAATACTGATTTTTAAAGATACAAGTTCTATTAATTAACCCCTAACTGAGGGAAAAAAGATGATTCATACCTTTCCTGAACCCAAATGTAATTGGAACTTGGCTCTCCAATTTTAATTCCAAGATGTTATCCATTACAATTCCCACACATCCAATCTGACAGTACCTTGTATTCCCAAATTGTGACCCATCCAAGTACTGGCCAGGCTCAAAATTGCTTAACTTTGATGATTGGATGAGAACTGGTGTTTCAACATGATATGGCTATAGGTTCACTGGTATGTAATATCTTATATGTTGGACAGACTCCTCAAAGCTGGACTGATATAGGGCTCTACAGAAGGATGCTGAGAATACCATGGATGGAGCATGTAAGGAAAAAGGAAGTTTTAAGCAAATTAATAACTCCAAGGTAACTGATACAAAGAAATCACAGACAGATGAAATTTCTAGGATGTATAATGTCTTTAATGGGTTTGTGAGAATGGGTGGCAAAACAAAGACAAAAATGGGTGGCAAAACAAAGACAAAAATGGGTGATAAAAAGGCAAAGGTTACTGACAGTGACTAAAGAGAAGAAGTTGTGGAGAACCATGATTGCCTATGTTCTGAAAAGACATAACACATAATAGAAGAAATGGTAGTTTCTGTATTGGTGTTTCTTGTTTAATATGGCACCAGGCTAAATTGATGAGAAATAGAGGCAATTTTTGAAGAGGATAAACTTTGCCAATCTTGAAAATCAGCATTCAACATTCAGCCTTTGAAACAAGCTCAGACAACAACCTATAACATTGACTATTTGTTTTTATTACAAATCTTGGCATTTCCCATACACTTATTTCTTCCAGATTTTTATTTATCTACATATTACTTTGTGTAACCTTTTATATCAATTTACATTCTTTATTTCCATCTCTCCCTTTCCCTGCTAGATTCATTGATATGTTTCTCTCTTTTTGTCTTTATTTGCCCTCCTTCTTTTATACTCATAATCTTTTTTCTTCTCTATTTCCTCAAATCTTATCCATTCTCACAATCTTTCTTCTTCCTTTTTCTGCTTCTTTGTTCTCCCTTTTAGAATTCTCTCATTCCTCTTCAGTATTTTTCTATATGTCTTTCTCTTTTGCTTTAACCTTTTTTCTCTTTTTCTTTTCATCTTTCTTCATCTTCCCCTAAGCATTAGTCTTTTATCTTCCTTTTTCTACTTCTCCTCAGCTTTGCCTTCCCTTTTAGAACATCTCTCTTTCTCCTCTGTATTTTAATACTTTTTCTCTTTTCCATTTCCCCCTTTCTTCAGCATCCTCCAAACAATACATTAATTTTTCCTCTTCCTCTCGTTTTCTCATCTTTCTCCTCTAATTTTTATTTTCCCCTCCTTACACACTCTATATGTTTACCTTTTTTCTTCTAAATCATTCTTTTCTCTTTGCTCTTTTTCTTAGTCCTACCTTTTCCTTAACAACATCTATTCTCTTTCTTTCTTTTCTTCTTTTATGCTGTTTTCACTTCCTCTACATACAATCGCCAACCATTTACCCTTCCTCTTTTTCTTTATTCTCTTCCCCTTATGCCCCTAAGAAACAAACAAACTTTGAAAGAAATGAGAGCTTGATAAATGGCACGGGATTATGTTACTTATTTCTCCAATCCTGCATCTTTGGCTCCGAACCCTCGGACGCACTGCGTGCAAACTTTAATTGATATACATGTCTCCATATCTTGGTATCTGTTTACCCAGATACCCTCCCATGTATGACACTAGCCGATCAAGAAGTGGTTAAAGAAAAGTGAAGAAAGAAAAGCAGCCGAAGAAGATGTCTTTGACTATCTTGGTGACGCCATTGCTAACAAAACAGAGCTGTTTATCAAACTATGGAAATGTCTAAAATTGAAATTTTATCTATGTACAAATTTATGCATTTGGAAAGTGCATAGACACATGCATGCAAACTCATTTACACACACACACATAGAGACAAATAGAAACTCAAAGTGCAATCTTAATTACACTATTTATATTCAGCCTATTGTCCTCATCTTTGTTGTTATTATTACGTTTTTTCCATTATATTGTCCAGCCTTCCTCAGGTGTATATCAATCTGTCTAACCTACAAGGAATTCTGAACTTAACACTTTATTTAATCTGCTCCCTTATATGTGTGTGTGTGTGTGTATACATACATATACAATCACACACACATATATATATGTGTGTGTGTGTGTGTGTGTATGTATTTAAATTAAATTTCCACTGAGCAGTAACCAACCATGACTGCCAGTTTCATATGTTTTCATGCAATCATCTGCCGATTGGTAGCTGTTGTATGTGCAAGTGGGAAATTCATATCCCTCAGGCATGTCCAAGATGGTAAAAGTTTTGCCAATGAGTGCATATCATGCACACATTAACTAACCTCACTGAGGTGGGGGAAGTGCACATTTGGCCAGGATAAAAAGGGATAAATTCATAAGTATTACTAAAAAAAAACAATAACAGAAAGGTTCACCAGTGTGCCAAAAGAGTCCTCATTACCATGGAGAACAATGGGACTGCAGCAAAGTTGCTTACTGCTTTTAAGAAAAGAAATTGTTTGATAATACCAGGCTGCTAAAATATGTGTATATATTCCTAAAGAATTGATGGATGGATTGATTTTTAATTTGATATTTCTACTTCAAATATTATTCTTTGTGGCTATAAATATTTAAGTAGACACCTCATTTCTGCTTTTTGTTAAAACAGTGTTTGTTCCATTTACTAGCCTGCACACTTGAAAAAATTTAACAAAGAAAATGTGACATCTTTGTAGGCGAAACCACAATCAGCATGCTTTAGATTGGTTAACTATGAATATTAAATAATAGTTTACTAAACTATTATTTTCAGATGAAAGTACATTGTTCCAACTTCCTAAGGTCAGATAGAAGACAAAACAAGAAATTCAATTTTGATTGGGTGAGCAAGTGTGAGAACAATAGATAGAGAAAGGGTTTTCAGGGAGACCAGTTTTAACCATCAAACAATGTAGACATGTTTTCTTTTATGTCTGAAATGGTTCCCTAGTGGAAGAAAAGCAAACCCACTGGATAGGTAGAAATGTAAACGTTGACATGATTAATAAAATAATTAAGTAAAATTCCTTGTGTTGAATTTTTTTCATCTGTAAACAAAAGCAACCTAACAATCACCAGCTGGGAGAAGACAAAAGGAGAAAATACAACATTGTCTTAAATTGACACTGATAACCAAGAGCAACCCTATCAGGGAGAGTATGCAACATGGAGAACATTGCTTGTTTGTGATGCTCTCTGTAGACAGGCTGTCTAAAATACAGTCTCTCCTACAAAGAGAGAGACAAGTTTTAAATCTGCCAGAGGGGTACATACTCTTTTTTAAGTTTTCTCAAGTGTACATCTTGGTAAACAAAATAAACACTGTTTAAAAATAACAAAAACTGTATATCTACTCAAATATGGGTATCCACTAAAATAAAGCTTGAAATGTATATATATATATATATATATATATTAATTATAGTTATTTTTTTTTAAAATATGACTCCATCGCAACACAGAAATTACTATGTTTTGTAACTAGTCAGCAATATTCAAGTTTAATTTTAATATTAAACCTTAACTATTGGGTGGCAGTTTCATCCTCAAGCAATGTTTGGAATAACTAAGCAATGGAATGTTTTACTCATTTATAGTTTTGAAATTGGGGTGTGATCTAGGGTTTGTTTTTCATTATCAAGGGGTCTCTGCTTTGATGGAAGTAGGGGTGTTTGTTATATGTCAAGTTTTTAGAGTCATGTAATGTTGGGTTGGGGGTTTCTTGCCTGGCTACAAAGTGATATCTATGAAAATTTACTAAAAATGAGTAGGCATGATGAAAAAATGTCTCAAAAGCTAATAAAAAATGCTTTATCATCAAAATCTTTGTTATTAAAAGGAAAGACCAAGGGTTTTTTATGTAAAAATTATTTTTTTTTTATCTTTTTTAGAATCTTTGAAATTTTGGATAAAAATCTTATTTTTTGGCATCAATCTGGTGTTATAAATTAGTATAGGGAAAATGAGCATTTTTTGCAGTGAAAAAGAAATTGATTTAGAAATTCTTGCAAAAATTAGATAATTGTCACAAATTTTAATTAATTAGATAATTTTAATGAAATTTTCAGGACAAATGAATTAAATTATTTTTGAAATCTTTGATTTTTACAAAATCTTGGTAAAATTTTATTTTTTACATTTGTTACCACACACTTATTTAATTTGATGAAATGTAGCACTTAATGTTTATATTAGTTATAAGCACAAGTCCAAGGAGAATTTAAATCATCAAATTTTTTTGGTCAAACACGCCACACAGTTGCAGAAAATCTGCCTAGAATCATACAATAAAAATGCAATAAAACTAAGACATCATTCTTTTAGTTGTGTTTATGAATAAAATATATTATGAACAATATTATCTTAAGAAGAAAAAATTTTTCAATGAATATTTAATTTTTACAAGAATTTAATTAGAATAATTTATAAAGTATTAGATGTTAAATCTGTAATAATTTGTAGTGGTCAAGTGATATTGTTATTAAATAAAAACTATATTTATTAATAGTAAATGGAAAGCTTACTGCAATTCAGTGACCCTCACCAATATTTTTTAAAAAATTTTGATTTTTTTTGTGTGTATAAATGTGCCAATTTTTGTAAATATAGATGTCCATGCACAACATTAACAGAAAATAAGAAAACTAAATATTGTAAATTTAAAATTTATTGGTAATTTTCTAATATTTCTTCAACAATCTTCTTTATAAGTAAGACTATAAAACCAAAATATTTAAAATACAATAAAATATTAGAGTGCTTAAAATATTTTAAATTTCTGAAGATTACAGGATAGTTAAAATATTATATAAAAATGGCTGGTACGTTGTATTCATCATGTAATTTTACTACAATTCTCGCAAACATTAGTTTGTTGATAGATCTGTCAACTCCTCACAAAAATAACCACCTCTATGTTAAAAAATACTTTTCTGTGTTATTTCAAACTAAAAGTAACATTTGTTTTAATACAGATTAATTAAATTTTAAATCAGTTAAGCTCCCTCAAATAAAGTTTCAGAAAAGTATATTTTATTTTTTAAAGACTTTTAGTAAAGAGAATTATGCTGTGTTGACAGATTTGTCAGTATTGACAATTTTAGCGATTTTACTGCCAAAAATTAATTCCAGACAATTGGAATTCAGTTT